TGAGTGGGAGGAAGCAGGACTGTTTATTTCTACAACACTAATTCCATCCAACACATCAGCTTAAAATATAACCAAGTACCTCAAACAATTATGTTGAAAAGCAAGGTACCAAACAACAACCAAGCAAACCAAACAAACAAAAAATAAAAAGACATACAGAAACAGCCCCATAGCCTGACATGCACATTTTGACAAATTTATTGCCACTGCTCCAATTTATTGCCACTGAACCTGACATCTGACATCCCACTCAGATATATTGCTATGAGTGTGAGTGTGAGTTTTTCCCAGAAATTAAGAGGAGGAAGAACTCAAATGATTTTGAAGAGGCAACTGAGGCTGTGACATTTGTCTATGTGAACATCGTGACTGGATCAAGGTTTGCCATCATTAAAATTAGAGATTTACATTCAGTCTTTATAAGGCTTTTTTCAGGAATGCTAATATGGGCATGAAAAGGACTATTAGTTTGGGGGAAAGTCTCATTTGTTTGCTTTTTTGTTCCATTTTGTCTTTTTGAGTTCTCTTCACAGAGACCTTATCAAATGTTTCAGAGAATCTCCCATGGAAAAAAAAAAAAAAAAGACGCCAGTTTGGTTTGGTCCTTTCTTTCCTATCACTCTGCCATAGAGTGAAAAAAGAGGCAGGAGAGGGCTACGTGTTGGTCAGTCAACTGACACTTACTTCAGCAGCTTATCAGTCGTTCTCTGACTTTCTTGGAGAAGTCCTTCTTATTGCTGAATCTGTCATGTTAGTTGGTAGAGAAAATTTTGCTGGTCTACCTACATTTTTGCTATTCACAGGCATGTCATGGTTGACAAGCTCTTGTAACCCTCCATTCACATCAATAATGGTGACCGTCACCTCTCTTTTCCACTCTGGGCCTTCAAAAGCTGTGTCGCTAATGGATTATCCAGCTTGACAGGTATTATGGAGCACCATAATTATATTTATATTATTATATATATATAGTATTATATATATATTTATATATATTATAAATATTATATTATGGGTGATATTGGTGTTTGAGGGATGGTTGGACCAGATGATCTTGGAGGTCTTTTCCAACCTTAATGATTCTATGAACTCAAGGAACCATGTCACTCAGGCAGGTCATGCTCTTAGTCAGAGGCATGAGAAGACATAAAATGAGAAGGAAAAAATAAATGGAACCCTAGGTGGCCAATAGGGTTGTTGTTGAGGTAGCTGGTTTGAAGGCTTGCTTTGGGGTTTAAGGTTGTGTTGTAGTTTACATTCTGATTTTCCAGGTATCAACTTGAACAAAACTTTGTTAAAGGTGTTTTTTACTAGCAGTCAGGGTGGTCTGACTGCACCATCATGGCTTTTTCTGTTGTTTTCTTTGTAGATCACTAAAATTCCATGTTTAATCACTCAATTCATTACAACCAAGTGAATATGAGTGGTACCAAAACATTTTATTAAAATATAACAAAAGAGAAAGCAGCCTTTTATTGTAAAAGTCAATAAAATGACACCTGGTTGATAGCCCTTTACTCTAGCAAGTAAAAAGAGTTCGAATTAAATATTAACTTACTAAGTAAACTCTTACCCACTTCAATCTACAAAAGCAATGAGGCCCAGGATAACTCACAAGAATTACCAGTCCCCTCACCATAGAAATAATCATAAAAAAATGTCATCAGCATTCTGAAGCTCTGCACTATAATGCTATTGTAACATGTTCCACAGTATTTGATGATCTGGGGAGGGGGGAAAGGCCTTCGGTTTTAGCATTTGATTACTCATCCAATTCTCAGGTGTTTATTTGATCATGACTTCTGTCTCCAACTGCTTAGGAAAGCACTTAAATGTTTTGTAATATGACTAATAGATCATTGTCTGTGCAGGCTCTACTCTTTATGATATTGCTCACTTGTAGCATGCAGGTGTTATGGGAGGTGTTGCAATCCAGATATACTTTGTCTGCAATGTTGGCATCCAGATGATAGTAATGGCAGCAGCATCCTGCATCCAACTTTCTACATGTGCATGCTTCTACCATTCTGCAACCACTAGGGACGTAGCCAGAGGTTTGGTTTGATTCCATGTTGTCTGCATTTGTCTTCATGAATTACAGAAGAGAAGGGCTTGGAGAAAACCAGGATAAAATGGTGGGGTTAGGAAAGGGGTTAACTATGTTTTGCACATATCTCCGGATACCTTTAGTTAACAACACTGGATGAGGACATACGCAATGATTACTCCCTTTATGTTCTCCATTTTCAAAGCAGTACAAATATCCTCAAATTCTTGCCAAGCTGCAATTTGTCTGTGTGCTTGAGACATATGAGAAAATCACTATCTTCCTGCCATTCGATGGCTGTTGCTCAGCCTCCCTTGGCTTGGAATCAGTATGTCTGCTGACATCAAGCAAATGAATCCAACCACTTTGTCCTCATCTTCTGCTGCATTCCGTTTGGTGGAAATAGGCTAAAAAGCAAAAACATTGGTAACTGTTGGCAACTTTTCTTTTATGTCCCATGCGTGGATCAGATTCCCTGATGTGTTTAGTAAATTTTGTCTCATAGTTTCTCTTCCATATGTGGATAAAGAAGGGAAAATATTATGAAACCATGGATACTATCTATATATGCTTCTTTTTATTATTATTATTCATTTTTTTCAAAAATGGCAACACATATTATTGTATAAATGACATGTTGAATCGGTTAAACTTGTGCCTAATAAGCACAGCATAGGGAATGGTATGATGAGATTCCTCTCTGTAAACCAATTTAATTCAGCTCCTTCCTGAAAGAATCACAACTGTGTCTGAAAGTACGGTTTAGTCTTCATAAGTTTTTTAGTATATTGCCTTATGCTTTAGATTGCTGAGGATCGTCTTAACTGGGAGTTCTTGTGATATAGACAGAAACTACCGAAGCAACTAACTTCACACTGTACTAAAACACTGTGTTTTGATAAAATTTGTGTATCTCCAATAGGTCAAAACTGAATTCAGGAGTGAAGATGTGGAATGCTTTAACCTTTTTCGGATAACAGAAATCATTCCTTGGTATTGTTTAAAATATTTGTTGAGGTTTCCCTTTCTTCTTGAGTTTGTGTAAGAGAAAAAAAGCAGTATTATATAGAAAGTTTTGTGTTTGACTGTTTTCCATAGGTAAATGAGGTTTGCTAACATTATTTTCAAAATATATGCTTTCATATTTCTCTCAAAACAGCATACTACTGGTATTGCTGTCTTGTAATACAGATATTTCATATTTACTCTCAGCAAAAATTGCACCTTTAGAGCCTGCTTTAAAACACAGAGTAGTGAGTTATGTCAAATATATGCATACCATCCCAAACAAGCCTATTCTCAGATCTACTGAAAATATTTAGTTGTATTTTAATGAAAGGCATGGTACTCATGGTAAATTAAAGTTGGGGAAAAAAATGTATCAAAAGAGAACAAGACCTTGACTTGAATGTCTACCAAACACATCAGTGTCTTCTGTTAATAATGTAAATTATGCATCCATCTTTATGCATTCTGAGGAAAAGCAGTAATTACCAGGAACTGAGGATTCCCAGTAAGTGCAGAAGAAGCAGTGTTTTAGAAGAGGTCCTGATGTTACTACCATTTGTGTTTTTAACTTGCATGTTTTTATTCTTTTGAAATGCTTACTTTGGAGTCAGCAGCTGAAATAATGTGCTGAACTAGAGCACAGAAGGTTTCTTGGTTGTATCTGTAGCACTTATCTATGACAGAGTCAAAAAATCCATACGCAACTAGTATGGCTGAAGGCAGTCTTAAAGGCTTAAAGGTGAATGAATACACATTCTCTTGAAATGCAGTTCTGCAAGTATAAAGATACATGTCAGAGCGTAACCTGAAGTCAAAGGACCTGCCGTGTCTGAATATGGACCGAATCTCTTAATCCTATATTCAGTCTGCTGATGCATGCAGGAATGTGAGTTCAGGGTATGGGAGAGATGAGACAGAGGAGATGTGTTCAGCCTGCTTGGGAAGTAACGTAGTTTATATTTTGTTGCACCATAGCAACACTTCCTTCAGCTACACTGATTAATATTTTATTAAATAATTATGCTTGTAATATTAATCATATCAGTAATACCCAAGTACTCATAAATATTCATACCAGTTTATGTATCTCTACTTGTAGTATTTCTGACTCTTGTGATCTCAGAAGTTCTGCCCAACTGAATTAATTTCCTCTGAATTCTGTAGTGGTGGAATATATTTTTTGTTGTGGTGAATATATTCACCCCCTCCTTGGAGGTGCTCAATACCAGGTTAGATGAGTCTCTGAGCAACCTGATCTAGTGGGTGGAGTTCCTGCCTATGGCAGGGGGGTTGAAATTTGATGATCTTTGAGGTCCCTTCCAACCCCAGGCATTCTATGATTCTATGATTTTTTCTAAAAGTAACATGTTGGGAACACTGAGAAAAATTTTAAACTTTTGTACATTTTTTTACTTTAGTATCTTACATGTGTAACACAGCTGTACTTCCTTCTTTTTCACCACCTGTTTTGGAAATACACTTGTATTTATTTTTTGTTAAACACCAGTGTTCTGACTTTGGTGTATGAAAACAAGAACATTTACTATGGAAAATATTTTCTGGTGGGAATGATGCCTACCTATAAAGTTTCCATAATGTTTTAATTGTCTGAAGATCTAGTGCCATACTATGTTCGAACAGCACTTTATATGTAATTGCATGTTAAAATGCAGAAACACTGTAAAAAATTGATGGTGAAGAAATGGCATTGCATAATTAAATTAGATTCATATACAAATTTCCTTACTAAACTAGGGGTGTTCTGATCTACATGTGGCTTTAATGAATACCAGGTAAAATATAGCAGCTGATGACACTTTAAAAGATTACCTTAGATCAATGAGTAAACTAGGGCTTTGCTGCCAATCAGTTTAACTAGAAAAAACTGACTTAAGGTGGGTCAGAGCACAATGTACTTAGATTTGTTTTCATAGTGGCCCAGAGTTCTGTGTTATTTGTACTGTAAGAAAAATAAAGTTTTTTAACCTAAAACAAAATATCACCCCTGTAGAAACAGCAAGAGCAATGCTGTTGAAAAGCATATCTGTTGTAGCATTTGTACTCAGTAGCTGCTGGTTTTCTTCTTTTGCTTCAGGATATCAAGACGAGATGTTGTGATCATACATGTACATTTACTGGTGGTGCAGAAACCAGGGGCTTCTGTCTTTTTTTTTAGTACTTCCTGTTGTGTCCTCTGCCTTTTCTATGACTGGAGATGTTAGGTACGAAAGAGGAATTTGACTATTTGCTTAAGAGATTTCAGTAATACAGGAATTTGCACATTGGCTACTCAACACATGTGAAAAGAAGCAGTTTTGTCCAGATTTATTTTGTTAAATATGTGAGCTGATTATCTGTGCCATTCAGCAATCTCCTATGCCTGTAGTTTTTAAAATTCTTGTACTTCTCTTGGTATTTTCCAGGTGGAATTACATGAAGGCTTGTAAGATGTGATGCAGGTACCTATGTCCCTTGGCACAACAGTGCAGCCTTCTGTCTCTTTCCCTCTGCCACTCCAAGGACTGCATTTACCCCGGTCATTGGCACAGACTGACTGTCAGCATGAAGTGAGAATGATCCCATTGGCTTTCACAGCCTGTCTGTATCCCAAATGCACATTTTCTCGTCCACCACCACCACCATGCAGCATATGCCCTTTTTCTTCCTCAATATTTCTTGATGTGGTAACCCCCAAAAGGGCCCCCGTGCCAAATACTGCAGCTGTTTGGAATGATCTTTTGGACACATGGGAAACCCGAGAGTGTCAAGGACTGGTTTTAAACTTGGCAAACTAATCAAAGACGTATCTGCAAATGCCCCAGACCTGTACTTTGTCCCATGGGCCTTAAAAATAAGTACCTAAATCACAATGAAGTACACATGAAAATCTGTTTTCTTCCCAATACTCTTGGTTGTCACTGTCCATTTTGATGCCTCAAAACCATAACAAAACTACAAGAATTGTTTTTAAATGTTATACAGCTCTAAAGCAAGGGACAGTAGATCAAAAATCCAGCATTGCTATAGCTCTTTTGTGCCACTCATAATCCCTAGAGATTGGAAGAGTTCATTGAAGCAAATCTAATTTAAAGCAGGGGGTGTACTCCAACTTTGTCAAGGACCCCGGAGGGTTGGTTTAGGGCAAAGGGGAATGCCCCCAAAGTGTAAAATCAAGTTCAGATGAAGTGTAACCAATGTCTTAACCTCAATATGAAATAAATTTTTGTAGAGCAATATTCAAGTGCTACAGAGTGATCAAAACAATGCATTTGACTGATGTACTCTTGTAAGGCTCTGTGTAGCAGTAGGATTCAGCCTGTGACAAGAAATTTACTCTGTATATTTTCCCTGAACATTAAAAAGAGTCTTTAAAATTCTCTTTAGCAATTATGTTGTTCATTTTAAACACTGGTAAAAGGAGCTTAAGGGGCTGTTTCCATGGTTTACAAAAACACATCCTATAAATAGTTTTTCCTACTGCAAAGGTCTCTGTCAATTAATTCTTCCAATTAAACATCAGTAAGAGATACTCCATAAGAATTTGAATTTGTGCATTATGCCTGGGAAATATACATAACAATTTCATGGGACATAATAGTGTTCAGCCTAACCTGGGATCAAAGTTGTGTCCTTTTACTTCCTCTGTGTTTATTGGCAGCTTTTGATTCAATCAATCATGCCAAGGCAATGTCAACTTTGAAGAGGCACTGCTGGGTTACCGTGAGTATTATTTTGGCATGTTTGGAAAAATCTCAGACAGAGCTCTCTGGTAGTTATTCTAGTTGATCTTTTTTTTTTTTTCCTTCTCACAGCTCTTCAGGGTTCCATCTTCAGACCTTATTAGTCTTTTGTTGTTTTTTAAATGCTGGTTTCTAGGTTACACTAGCCTTTTAAAATATTAGATGTACCATGCAGATGACAAGACTTCCTTTTGGAGCTGTCCTTTCCAAACTTGATTTGGTTCCTGCAGTTTCTGAGCTACCCTGAAGACTCATTTCTGAATTAGGGCCAAAAACTGCACAATATTTTGCTTTAGTGATTTTTTTTTTTTTTTTTTTGACAAAGCATAAGCTTTATGTGTGGAACCCACTATCATGTTGGACTAGCTCTTTCTTCACAGTCCCTTTGAGGATAATTTTTCCATTTCCTGTCACTACAGATTGCACTCTTGGAGGCAGTTTTAAATCAGTAATGTCTTTGATGTTTTTCTTTTACCATGCCAGGAACATTCCCAGAGTGACACTGATGCTCTCCCAGGCTGTCCAAATGTGTATTCATGGCAGGCTTCTGCTAAGCTGCTGTAACACTCTCCCGCTCTGTTTGCTAGCTTGCCAGATGTGAATAAGCTCCAGTTAATTGAAAATACCAGATTTTGAATAGGTTGCAGTTAATTCAAAATGCTATGGCCAGATTGTATATATGGCTAAACATTATGTAGTTAAATTTTAACCATTGCATCACTCTTCTGTGAAAAACAAATGACAGAAACATTTCTCAGACATTTCAACTTTTTCTTCTCAGGCTTCCAGTGTCCTTAAACAAAAATGTTCAGTGGATCTCTCCAAAGCAAGCTAAATGTATTTGACATAATTGGAGGTCAGGTAGAGTAAAGGTACTAGTTGTTTTTAAATGACAGCTGAAAATGAGGTGCTAACATCCTGAATTGTTTTCTGTTACTGCTGTGGAATTGCATACCTACAGATGGGAAGAATTAATTTTCTGTATGTCAGTATAAAAGCTCCTTTTCTTTTGGTTGTGCCCTCCAGCATATTAAACTGGAGTTTATACTTTTCACTACTTCTGTGGTTACAACAACTTAGAAAAAATTTAGTTATGTTGTCACTGCTTCTACATCATACATTTCACAGTATTTCTGTTCCATCTATTTTCAGTGGAGTTAGGCTATTTGTGAAAACTATATTTGAATACTCATTACACATTCTCCCAGGTGTCCTAGTTCCTTGAGTAACCCCATTAGCTGTTCTCAGAAGATCTCAATATAAAAAGAGAGAAAACTTCAGGTCATCTCTAAGGAATAAAAGAAGAACTTATAATTCATTTTAAGTCTTAGCTGCTGAATGTTGCAACCATGTAATTCAGACTTGGCATTTATTTTTTCCCCTAATGCCAGGAAATTGTTATGGAAATTGATGTTTTTCTGCATCCAGGTTTTAATTATGGATCTTTTCCTATGTCTGTCTCTTTGCTACCTGCCTGCACTATTTCTTTCCTCTCCTCAAAGAAATTTGAGGGGATGGCCATATGTGATCTGTCGCAGGGGACAGGGTAGTAGGGATGTCTTCACTATATATTTTTCTTTCTAACAATTTCTTCATAACAGTTCACTTGTCTGTCTGACCATCACTCCAGCAGGATAACTCTTAAGCTATGTGTTCATACCAGCTAGCCAGTGCTTAAAATGGAGAGACAATAACTTATAACAAAAGTCTCTTACCAAGACTCTTTTTGGATAAGAAACTTGAAGAGCATTCAAACAAGAACTCACAGGTTTACAAAATCAAATGCCTTGTATGTCTGTCCAGATATTGTAGAAGGAGAATCATCTACACTGTACACTTTGTACACTGCGCTGTACAAAGCTGCAAATATTGGACTCTTCTGGAGCTCCAGTAAAAGCTTACTCTGTCCAGGATTTTGAATATGAGAGCCACATCTGCAGAGTAGATCTTTGCATGTGCTAAAGTCATAGCATTTTCTGCTTTCTGCAATGCTACTTGAAATCATAACACAACTATAAATATTCAGGAAAAGGAGTTATGAAGAGTATGGAAAAGCCTGCACTTTTCAAAATAACTGGATGAATATATTAATAGCGTAATATTCAGACAGTAAAACCTATTATATATTAATAATATCATATTATTCAGACAGAAAACCTGAATTATCTTTCTGACAGCAAAGAGGCTCCAGGCAGGAGGGTGCATGCTAACGCCATACCAGTAGCTGGAAATGACAGGTGGAATGACTGGAACTATTAAACCAACCAGGCTGATGTCAGTCCTAGACAGAAAGATGAAAATCAGAATGGTGATATGGGATTTAATTATTTGAGATTTATAAGATGGGAATGATGTGAGTAAACCAGGTTTTATGGCTTGTGTGTCTGGTAATATAAACCTGGTTTTATTCCTCCGATGAGGTAAGTTTGGTTCATTAAAGCAATTGTTTACACATAAACTGCTTTTTGTAAAGCACTGAAATGCATGCTATTTTGATTAGAAGTCAATGCTATTTGATATCGATTAAATGCAAAATAAATAGATTTAGCCACTTGGTAGTTGTTATATATCAAAGAAGATTTGATAAACCACGATTAGATAAGCCATAGAAGATTTGTCATTGGATATATGCATTTCAAATGGGATTTTGAAGAGATCAAATGCAGGTCAGCTCTATTAAATTCTCTTTTATAAATTACTGGAAAAGTAAATATAAAAGCAATGCTAATAAATTTTATGGATGATATAAAGTGTGACAAAATATTGCAAGTAGAGCAGCCATGCTGAGCAAACTGGTAGGACATAAGCACAAGCTGAGTTTAGATGTCAGGGTTCCTGCCTGTAGTGAGTCTACCACGAAAAACTGCATAAGCTGGGGATGCAGCCCTGCTCCTGTGCCACGTGCCCTTCTTCCTTGGCATGCTGATTTGTCTGAGCAGGAGGATATGCTGGCACTGCTGCTGGGGTCTGAGTCCATATCCTTCCATGGATATGTAGCATGGATGGTGCTACTTAACTATGTCAGGTCTCCAATGAGTGTGTTTAGAGACCAGCAGAAGTGGGTCCATGAGCAAGGTGGCAGGGAGCATTAGGTTTCAGAACCATTTTTATTAGAAGAGTGTGAGTTTAATATCTGGAGGTCTTAAATTATCTCTTCACTCTTAGTTAAAGTTCATTTACCAGCACTAACCCTCAAGAAAAACAAAAGAACACAAATATTCGTATCATGTAAAATTCATTGTAGGACATTAAGTCTGCAGATACTGCAGTAGTTACACAAACTGAGGGGGCAGAAGAAAAGAACGTTAAGCTGAAGGTTGATACTTTATTTTACAGGAGTAATATAAGCTAAGGATGCAGTATTAAAAATGTTTGTGATTGTAAAGGTCTATAACAGCCTCAATATCATTTGTGTTGATATATATTATATATTAATTATATATTATATATTATATATATATTATATATATTATATATATAATATATATAATATATTATATATATTATATACATTATATATAATATATATAATATATTATATATATTATATATATATATTATATATATATATAATATATTATATTATATATATTAATATATAGTTACATGTATGTCTGCCTGTCTTTTTTCTGTTACAGAGAAGGTGTCAAATTTTACAAAGACCAGAATGAATTTCAGAGACTTCATGGTACAAGACCAGTTACTGTCTTGGGCAGTTATTTACATTAACATAATACATACATGAATCAGGAGGGACCACAGGTTTTGTTTGCAGTACATCTTCTGTGTTGGCACCAGCATCTATACTGCTCCATGGTGAGGGTAAGGCAAGGTGTAGTTCTTTCTATAACAAATCCAACTAGATATGGTATCCTTCAGCCTGAATGCTTCCCTGACACATCTCATTGGGAGGCCATTTGGTCTCTGGCTTTGGTGACAGGTAAGCACAGGGGAGGTACTGTTTCTTTGTGACAATATTGGATCAGGGCCTTGCAAAACATCACCAGGTATTATATTTGGTTTTGCAATTCCCTTCATCATTGTCTTGGTTCGCTGCTGTTCTGCTTCCTTGCATGTGGGACTTCCAGACCTTTGGGTTACTTATTCATCCGATCTTTTCTGGCACACCTTTTGCCTTTTGACAATAGTT